GGCATCCTTTAAGATCCATTTTAAATGGTTAACCGAACGGACTAAAGTTAATTAAGGCCATATTACTATATAAAAGGTCGATATACTAAATGCTTTACCAATGTGATCTGAAAGCTAGGAAAGATCAGTATATATATATATATATNTCAGTTAAAAATCTTAAACCTTACATAGAGGCGATATTTTGTGATGAACGCACAAAATTGAGGATTCTGAAGCCAAAGGCATATGGGGGTGCAAGAAGTGCCAAAGAACTGGAAAATTTCTTGTGGGATATGGAGCAGTATTTCCAGGCTGCACGTGTGACGGATGACGACAAGGTGACGATCACACCAATGTATTTGACTGGTGATGCAAAGGTGTGGTGGCGTACACGAATGGCAGAAACGGAAAGTGCTGGACTGCCCAAGATTGGAACTTGGGAGATGCTGAAGAAGGAATTAAAATCCCAATTCCTTCCAACTAATTCATCGTGGTTGGCACGAGATGGACTACGTCGCTTGAAACAAAGTGGCACGGTGAGGGAATATATCAAGGAATTTTCGTCCTTGATGCTGAATGTAAGTAATATGGAAGAGGAAGATAAGCTGCATTACTTCATGAGTGGACTGAAGGGCTGGGCGCAATTGGAGTTGAGAAGGCAGAATGTTCAAAACCTCTCTACTACCATTGCTGCGGCAGATGCGTTGGCTGACCTGAACATAGGTGATGACCCTGCTGGAACTTCGCATTCAAAGGCTGACGAGAAAGCTAGGGAATGGAAGAAAAGAGGGAAGGGCCAAGCTGCCGAAGATGAGGGCTTTGCCAAGAATGTGAGACAAGAGAATCACAACGACAAAGAAAGGAGCGGCAAGTTCAAAGGCTGCTTCACTTGTGGTGGACCGCACTTGAAGAAGGACTGTCCGGTGCAGGCTAGGGTGAATGCTATGCTGGCTGCAGAGAAACAAGAACAAGTGGCAGAGCCAAATGCCATTGTGGCAGATAGGAATGGAGAACCCGGGGCGGTGTATGTCAACAACCCCTTGGGGCTGCTTCATTGAGTCGGCTCGACGAGGACATCGATTTCAAAGGGTGCGGGTGGTTTGTTAGGGCCTGACTCTTTGTCATCGGGCGTGGCACGGCTGTGGCAAGGATTTGGGCGTGATGGCCTTGTCATTTGGCCTATGTTGTCACGGGGGCATTTTTGGTCAGTCAAAACTCACACCCACGCGGCAGTCAAGTCACGCACTTGACTCAGCCTTCCCCAAACACTTAGCCAATTTTCCGCAAGTTTGGCTTAAACGAAATTTTGGCAGCAATTCAATAAGAACACAAGCATATACGGGAAAAATCCCAACCTTTGCATTAATATGGAAAATATACAAAGGACCCCTCACTTTGCTATGAACACAGTCTGCTCACAGCCCACTTTTGACAAAGAACACAAGTCGTTCTTGGCCAACACTAAGACCTACCCAAGCCTAGGCCTGCTATGTTGTATAGGACCGAGTGTTGGCCGGTTAAAAATTCACGCATCCAGAAGATGAAAGTAGCAGAGATGAGGATGCTGAAGTGGATGTGCGGGCATACAAGGATGAGCAAGATTAGGAATGAAGATATTCGAGAGAAGGTGGGCGTGGCCCCCATGGAGGACAAGATGCGGGAAGCAATCTCAGATGGTTCGGGCACATTCAGAGGAGGAGCACTGATGCACCAGTGAAGAGATGTGAGCGACTGGCGGTGGTGGGCACAAGGAGAGGTAGAGGAAGGCCTAAGAAGTATTGGGGGGAGGTGATCAGGCATGACATGACACGACTTAGAATTTCTGAGGACATGACCATTGACAGGGAATTGTGGAAGTCGAGCATTAAAGTTGTAGGTTAGAGGGTAGTTTGTGAATATTAATACAGCGCACTAGAGTGAGACTAACCATTTAGGAGTTAGTCTAAGGATGCTACTGACCAGCTACTGATGCAGCGCTATATCTGTTGGATATTAGTATACCTTACATTCTTTTCTCCATCATTTTCGTATTTCCTATATTTCTTATATTGTTGTTATTTTTATTTTATGTTATGTATTATATGTTTTATTATGAGCCTATTGATAGTACTAATATATTGTCTCTTATTTCTCTCTTGAGCCGAGGGTCTCCTGGAAACAGCCTCTCTGTCCCTCGGGGTAGGGGTAAGGTCTGCATATATATTACCCTCCCCAGACCCCACTTGTGAGATTATACTGGGATGTTGTTGTTGTTGTTGTTTATACAGAGGCGAATATTTATGTGTTCAAACAAACTGATTGTTTAGCTAAGTGAGGTATCCTAGGTAAGGTTCATTATCCCAAACTATTGACGAGTAAAATGTGGCTAATTATCGATTTAAAATTATTTATATCTAGATATCGTATCATGTGTGAAAAAGTAGTAGTCTGTTACTAACAAAAATTCTAAATGAAAACTTGGTCATACTAATCTTAACATAACAAGCAAAGACAAGCAACATTCATACAAAAGAAAAGCAGATTGTTAATAAAAGTTAGGAATTGGCAAAGTAAAGATTAAGATGGAATAGCGGGAAGCTCCTTCAGGAACCCCGAAAATGATGGTTCTTTATAGTTTCGCCTAGAGAATTTGAGGTTAGAATATGTAGTGTTGACTCCATGAGGTGCTACGGCATCGTCGAGTCTCAAAGTGAAACTCTTGGGCTCCGGTGTTCATGCGAAAAACAAAGAAAGAATAAAACAGTTAGAGAAGATTACAATATATTTGAGCAACATCACTTCTTCGAATAGCCAAGAAAACAATAGCAAATAGTATGGTTTGGTCAATAAAGTTTAACACAGCCAATTTGAATACAACATGACTTAAAACATGGATTCTTCACATCACTTTAGTATTAAAAAAAATGTCATCTGTACATTACACTACAACAAATAAACGTAAACCTAAGACATGTTTTTTTAAGAGCAAATACAATTTCCTTAAGGGAAAGATCAGAATTAAAAAAAGTCAGATTTTACCTGTTGTGGGACAGTGAACTAGGAGGATGTTGGCCTCGAATCTACTCTCTTGTTATGGAAAAGATTCGAACCTCGATCGGAATGAGTTCCAAAATATCTGTCACGGCTAAAGTTCACCATGACAGAAAAGAAAGTTTTGTAAGAGAGTCTCGAGAATTTGAGACTATATTAGATGTGAGTGATAAAGTAGTGTTCAAGAGGTGGCTGATTCTTATGTCTAGTGTAGATGTAGGCGGCTGAATCTTGAAGTTCAAAAATGGTGGCCGCTCTCCAAAAAAGTTCCTCTCTCACTTGTAGAAAACAGTAGCATTTATAGGGAAAAAGTCTAGGGTTAGAGATTAAGTTTGAAATTCAAAGTATGAAAATGGCAACACAGTACAAAGAAATCGAGATAGCCAGAGGTAAATCCTACCCATGGAGTGCAACCTCGCTATTGTTGGGAGAAGAGTTTTGGATTCTTTTGAAGAAATTTGACCAAATTCTTTGCTTGCTTCAGAGTGGCAGAGATTTGTCCTTGCTATTTTACAAAAGAGTTAAGATTTGGCTTGACTCTTTTCTGTTGGCATGTCCTACTTGCTCGAAAAAGGAGACCACATGTGAGAGAGATGGGATTTGTATCAAAATGGAGTGACAAGCTCTGGATTTCAAGAGATGATGGCCAAATTTTGCTAAAAAGGAGGAGGTAAGAGGCAACCGCTGGGAATGTATTAAGATTGGACTATAGTCTTGGTGGATTAGGCTTTGGGCTAATAATAATTGCGGGCTGATTGCAGTGGCTGAAAATACAAGATTTTGGGCTAAAAAAATGACTATTTCAAAGAGGCCGAAATTGTTGGGCTATTTGGACTCCTTTCTTCTTGTACTTCTTCTAAGCTTCTAAGTTTATTCAAATATTTAATATTTAAAATACACTATACAATAACAATAGTAGTAGCAATAATAATATTAAGTGATTAATAATAATAATAATAATAATGATAATAATAATACTCTAATACTAATAGTAATACTAATACTAATATTAATACTAATATTACTAATAGTAATAGATGTAACGAAAATAGTAGTAAAAATAGGTATTTAAACTATTATTAACTTAAAAGCTCAAGAGAATTAATTGGAACAAAGGAGGGACAAAATTGGATGTCAACACCTGGTATTTTGTCAACCTTTTCCCGATGCTCCTTCATTTGATCACGGCTTGTTCTCGTTTTCCGTCTCTTCCATTTTCTTTAAGATGGTCATGAGTGCATCGTCACCCGCATCAGTAACAGTGCGGGTGTTGCCCGTTCGTGTAGTGCTTGGCTCATTGGTGGTAGTTGTGATTCCTGTAGGCGGCAGGTCTTCGACATTTCCTTGAGGTGGTTTTTCGAGTATGTTGCTCAAAGCACTTGTCAACCATTCTTCTAGCAGCTTTTTGACTGCTAGTGGTGTTTCTTCCACCGTGGACGTTGAGGCTCCTCTTTCGTGCAAGACTGTTAGATCCCCGTGTGGAGAAGGTGAGATCTCCCCCTCCGGTGTAACTCTTGGTGTTGTGTTCTCAGTGTCTTCCCTACCGGCTTCGTTGAGGGAGTTCAGGAGATTGCTTGAGACATCTGTTATCATCTCCAGCCTCGCTTCTTTTTCTGCCATTGTTGGTTTTTAAGAGATTTGAAGAACAATAATCGTCACTTTCAAGAACCTAGATGAGAACTATAATTTCAGCTATGGAAATCCCCACAGACGGCGCCAAATTGTTTGACTCAAAAAATATTAAAACTTTTTTGAACAAATCAATCAATGATGAATGGGTAAATCGTAGTTGAAGATAATAAACTCTAGAATGATAATAATAGAGAGAAGAGAATAGTAGAGATTCTTTTTCATTCAAGGTTTTAGAATTTTACAGAGTCCCNATTTACCATCGAGGTTGTATCCTTCTTGGCGTCGACTCGCAAGTACTCGACCATTTATCGTGCTCATTGCAGGTCGTAGTTGGTCAAATTCAGACCCATACAACGTTGCCACAACATTATTTCACATTCATGAAAAACACACACTCTCCTTTGTAACATATAATTTTACAGACTAATAAAAATAAAGGAAAACGACATATTGCATGCAAAGAAAACACACTGAAAATTCCTCAATTCCATCGTCTCTTCTCCTTCTCCATTTTCATTTTTGGTAGAGGGAAGAAAAGAGGGAATTAATTAACTTAATACATTGATTAAAGTTTAAAGACTAGAGCTTAACAACATCTGGAATATCAACAGGATATCTGTCAATACAATCAGCCCATGGACTATGAGTTACTGGGGTTTTGATTGTTCTATTACACTTCCAAACCGCACTGTTACACTTGAATCCACTTCCAAATGCAATTTGCCAAATCCTGTCACCTATTGATCATTCGAGGCATAACATAATTAAGTAATTGAAATCGTCCTTGTTTTAATAACAGTTTAAACTTTTAAATGATAACGATCGTTACCTTTCTTCATTCTCCCCTTTGCCTCAATGTAACTCATCTCATACCATAGCGACGACGATGACGTGTTCCCGAATCGATACAACGTCATCCTTGATGCCTCCACGTGCTCCGCCGATAGCTGCAGGCTTTTCTGCAGCTCATCTATCACCGCCCTATTGGGATAGATATAATTTATTTATCCCAAGTACATGAATTTACTTATTAGGAAATTGACATAGCCAGGAGCGAAGCTACATGGTTGACCATTCTTTGTCGGAAAATGATATTGTTTGTATAGGTAAAATATTAGATTTTATCTTTTTCAGAGATTTTTTTGTTTCTTTTTAGTTTGAACACCCTTGGAAATAGCTCTCTCTCTCTCTCTC